AACCCTAACCCTAACCCTAACCCTAACCCTAACCCTAACCCTAACCCTAACCCTAACCCTAACCCTAACCCTAACCCTAACCCTAACCCTAACCCTAACCCTAACCCTAACCCTAACCCTAACCCTAACCCTAACCCTAACCCTAACCCTAACCCTAACCCTAACTGTCAAAAAGACAAGGTAATTTTTGAAGACTTCACCGACGGATTCTGAGACTTGGTAATGATTCTATCTGCTAGAGGCCCTTCTCTTCTACCTTCTTGAACATGTTCCACCACTCCATGAACTCCTCCCTTGCCTTCTTGATGACCTCCTTGCTAGCTTCTCCTGCCTTTCCTCCATACTTGATCCAACGTACCACATCATGGCCAAGGAACATAGTCAAGGAGCCCCTGGTCTCTCCTTCCTCGATGGCTGTGTTGAAGTGGGTCAACACATGAGAAGGTAAGAAGCACAGAGCTCCTGGGGGCATCTCCACTGATGCCTTTGCTTCCTTGAAGTTGAGCGTTGTCATCTTGTACTGACCGAAGCTGAAGACACCTGCCAGTCCTTGCAGCAGATCTTGTGTGTCCCTGTGAGGCTGGCTGATGGACATCTTCTCCTCATTGATGGCCAGGGAGGAGAAGGGAGGCCAGAGGAAGGCCTTGTGCTTCCTGTACAAGTCGGCGTTGCCCACATAGCTGTAGAGGGCAGCATGGTCTGGGAAGCATGCTGCAAACTTGTTGCTGCAGTAGTTCCTGATCTGGATCACAGATGGGTCTTCCAAGAATCCCCTCATCTCTGCCTCATGCTGGACAAAGAGCTTGTTCCAGTACGGTTCATCCAGGCAGGCCTTGTTCTGTCCACTGAGCATCAGATGCCAGGTGTGGAAAGATCCACGGATAGCCTCAGTTGGAGCCCCTGCTGAGCGTGGTAGGCCTTGAACCCTTGCCCTCATTGCCTTGTACGCTTGCCAGAACTCAGGGTTATCAGGAGGAGGGACAACACTTGCATAGTGCCGATTGTCTGCGTCTACAAGGTGGACAATCTCAGAGCCAAGTTTGATCTTCAGGTAGCCTTCGTTGTTGCCCTCTTCAGCAGATGTCTGCTTCGGCAGCTTGATGCAGCCCTTGAAATAATCGGATAGTTGCAGGGCAGGAGTCTGGATGACTTTGACTTTGCCCTTCTTTCTGTTGCTTTGAAAAGCGCTCTTGGATTTCTGACGGATCCTTCGCCTCTTCTTTGACTGGTCTGGAGGTGGGGTGTGGTTGCTGATATACAGCTTGGACGGTTTCTTAGTGATTGCCATTTTGGTGCTCTGTAGTTTGTGAATTGCTCGCGAGATGGGGGAAAGACTGCACTTGTCCCCAACAAAAAATATGCCGCCTCTCTTTGTGGCCCTTCTGTCCTATACAGGACTTGTATTGCATCTTTCTAATGACCCGAGCCATTACAGCTCAAATGGTCCCCATATCCCGATAGCACACAAAGAGATTGAGCGGGTTAGCACGTTTAGGGTGGCGCCCTTCCGTGAATACCGAGTTGCCACCCCGGTATCAGTGCCTTCCCTCAAGACTGCTTCAGGTGTCTGCCCCACCCTCTGCAGGTCCCAAGATCGGACACTGGCTCCCTACTCTTCCTCACCTCTGTCGCTTCTTCGCAGGCCCTTGGGTCAGATCAGGCCGCGCTGAAGGATTTCAGCAATTGGAATAGAGAGACTCTAACCAAACCAAACAATTGACAGTCCGTGACTAACAGCAACATTGCCGAGACCGAAAGTCTCACTGCTAATCCCAGGTTCTCCCAACTGGTATACATTTTGGGTCAGAAAGAAATTTGCTCCCCAATGAGCTTGAGTGTCTCACGTCTCTGGCAGGTGCGCGCACGCCTTTCTCACCTGCTTCTTACGTAATTCTGGGGCTGCGGAGCCGATTCTGAAATTTTCAGAATTTTCCATGCAGCCGTTACGGAGATATCGCGCTTTTTCGCGCGAAAAAAATTCTAAAAACTCGGAAACAAATCTCGGAACAACGAGAGCATCATTTCCGACATTTTTGGGACCTCCGGAACCGATGGTAATTTTTGCAGACGGATCCGACAAAAACCCAGCGAGCTACAGCGCGTCAAACTTTCCCTTCACTTTTTTCTCAAAGACAAGGACGCTCACCAAGCGTCAGACGCGCGCCCAAAAACTCTGCGGAGCCGAGCTAGAGTAAACTGGGCGCTCCGGACGCGATTTTGAAAGTTTCAGCCCGATCCGATCAGCCGTTGTGGAGATATTGCATTTTTTCGCACGAAAAACGCTGCAGGAATTTGGAAAAAAATCTCGGAACATGGAGACCATCATTTCCAAGGTATTTCGGACCTCGGAGAGCGATGGAGCAAGTTTCAGACGGATCCGAGCGGCCGTCACGCGTCCAGAGCGCGCCAAAAA